CTTTCCCTAACCAGTTGGTTATGTCATATATTATCTCTTATTCAGGATTAAGGCTACATACATGACGCTGTGATATCTGTCTGTCTATCTAGCTTTGTTTCAAATGGATAACCATTGTGATAGTCTTTTAACTCTCCCCCATGGGCAGATAAACTTTCCCTTTTCCCATAATGTTATCTTTTTGTTCCTTTTAACCTCAAATACCAAGTAGGTAGGAATTCACTTTATTATTTCAATAATATGTTAAAGCTGAAAAGGATCATTCACTAGAGCCACAGAAAACAGTGTCATGACCTTGCCTCATTCCACTTCCCTACTTTTACAAAATCTGCCAGCATCCTGGCATCTCTGACTTAATGACTGATCCCAGAAACTAGCAAAACTGACCATTTGTATAAAATGTAATTAGTGCGAGCTGAGGTGTTTGTTCTATCAATGGTGTTAGCAAGAGCTGAGTCTGAAAGGGAATTAACGGACCTTTCAACACTGTCAATACCACAGAAAAGAGCTGAAAATTGAGAAATTTTTAAGTTGCTCTGAGAACAAAATATGTTGGAAAATAAGAGAGAGGTCATGACACCTAACAATTTACTAAACTGAAGTCAAGTTGGTTAGAAGCTAATGGGGTAAGATGGGTTAAAAGAAATATAGCTTAGCATTTACAGAATGAGGGGTCAGGACAACCATACAGGGGTATGAATTAGGATTTGGGAATGGATAAATGGCGTCCTGGCACAGCAGCAGTGGTGATCCAGGCACTATGCTCTTTTCCAAGACCAACCATGCATCTCGTAACAGTAGTATTTATTGGCTCCAGGAACATCCTGCTCCCCAGCTGAGACTACCCAGAGAGTTCCAGCCCTACAGAGAACTTGTTGTATCAGCAGTATTTAGGGAGGATAGTACTTAGAAATATTAAAGCTTAGTATTCTAAGGGATAAAGAACTTACTATTTCTGAGACTCGCCTAAATAGTAGACAGCCTATGTAGATCCTGTCAACAGTCAAGATATTCTGACTTCAGAGATATATTTTAAGTGCAGTTCAGTACAGCATTACGAATTGCATGCCCCTCTATTCTTACATAAACATATGGAACATTGGAACAGGCTGCCCAGAGACGTGGTGGAGTCACCATCCCTGGAGGTGTCCAAAAAACATGTAGATGTGGCACTTCGGCACACGGTTTATTAGACATGGTGGTGTTAGGTTGATGGTTGGACTTGATGATCTTAAGAGGTCTTTTCCAACCTTAAGATTCTATGATTCTATAATTATGAATAAAGCACATTTAGGAGGATTTTATGAAGTTGTTCTTCAGGAGAAAATTGTACATAGAAAAAGTTTATTACAAGGGTAAAATCTAGTAGTGTCCCATGTCTCTTGAGATTGTGCCACCATTAACTCCGTTTCTGAGTCATTACAGTAATTTGTGTTACCTGCTATAGTGTTTAGGAACATCAGGTATTCAAAGTTGGAAATTTCTCGGTGTTGCCATCGCTGGGTCATATTGGAAGCTTTGAAAATCTGTCGTGGACTAGCCAAAGAAATACGTCTGGAAAAAACGGAAAAAATAATGAGAAAACCTGGTGAGTCTTCCTTTGTACTTATCTGTATTTTAGTGGTTGTACATATTCTTTTTACAAGTTCTATGCTAGATTTCTCTGGAGGTCGAATTGTTATTTTGGATACTTGAAGTTCATTTTTAAAGTTTTATAATCTAATAAGAACAAAAGACTTAAAACATCTGACAGCTGGGTATGTCAAGATGTGAAAGCTTTCAAACAGAAACTTTTACAGCTGTGCAAATTCAGCTGCTCCATGAAGGCTTGATGTATTACAGAAATACGTTATTAGTGATTTAGAGAGATGGCAGACCATTAAATAAGAAAATTACTCAACTTTTAGAATTTCACATAAGAATAAAGTCATCTTTTAGGAGAGGTTTTTAAATCCCTCAAGAACAAAGGAAAACAATGATAAGATGATAGAACTTCATTATGAAGTCCATCCTCTTGAGATTTAAATTCTGGGCAGTGTTGGGGAGTTAGTCATAAATAACTCAATTAAAGTGGTAGAATTTGATGCCAGATTTCCTAATGTTTGTGAAAGAAGACTATAGAGTCATTCCTTGGAGTGATAAATCAAGCAGAGAAGAGCTTATCATAAAATTCCCAAGACTGTTTTGTTCATAACAAAAACATCTGTAAATACTAAAAACACATCATTTAGTGAAAAAAATCTACATATAGTTTTAGTTAACAAATCTTTAAAGGTATTGGTAAATAATTAAAGAAAACGGTGACAGTAACTGAATCTTTTTTTATTTTAATAAACTGCATTATATTGTAAACAAATTTATTGGTATAAAGGGATGTGAAACTTTGAACAAATGTGTCTACACTTTCATGTATATTTAAAAATTTTCACACATAATTTGCTTTTGGAAATAGAAATTCTGAAGTTCTTACAGAGCGGCTCTAATTGCAATTCAAGAGAATTTTTTCTGGACTTGATTAAAAAAAGGTAAACTACAAAACACAACAGAAAACATCCCCAACTATTTAATGCCATTTCTGTGCACAGAAATCTTTAAAAAATAAAAATTTAAAGTAACAGCAATCGAGATAACTCCTTAAGGGTTGCTGATTCTTCCAAAAATTTAGAAATTAATCTACATAAAAATATTTTATAATTCATTAAAATACAAGAGGTACTAATCTAACTAAAGATGGGGTATAGCTCAAAAACTTCTATTTCCATCAACCCAGTGAACATGAAACTGTGCTGCTGTGTTTCATCCAGAACACATCTGGTAATCAAGGCCTAATCTTCTGCTAAAAAAGATGTAGCAAACTGAATCACATTCTTCAGTTTTAGGATCCGAACACACAGTCTGACACTGTAATACTAATTTCTCACTACGTAAAATTTGAACAATATCCTCCAGAGCTAAAAGACAAGCACACCATACCAATCCTTCACATGCTGTTCAGCTTATATTGTTCTACACATCACTACAATATCCTTCTGATGAGTAACGATCATTTTCATCTATGTTGAAATACTACAGAGGATTCAAGGATGTTACAGTCAAGCTAATATAATTGAACACTACCATAAAAGCTAATCAGTCCTACAACCAGTCTTAAATTTTAGTGAGTTGGCAAGCATAAAGAAACCTATTTTCCTTAAGTAGGGTAAGTGATTGAGTCTCACTGCCAAAAAGAAGCTATCTTCCCTATAACAGACAGAAATCACAAAGAAGTCTCAAATCTAAAAGTTTTTAATTATACAAACACATTGTAAATAGCAAGCAGAAGTGACAGGCTGAGGACGTGCATGTTTGTAAAACAGTAGGTGTAAATGCTTCTAACCACATAGGCTGGTATGATGAAGAAAAGAACTCTTAGAACTGACAGATAAAATTAACTCAAATTGTAAAATACCTGGTCTGGGGTAGTCCAAAGATGGTACCAATACCGACCCGAGGCAGACAGTTAACCACTTTCTTTACTGTTGCCTGGTCAGGAAAGTTGAACATGACACCCACTGTGAACACAAGAGTTGAAATATGGCATGATTTTACACCTTTTATTTTAGGCTTTCTGGCACAATAAAATCTAACCCTAAGCTTAGGTGTTGAACACGTAAAAGATTAGACATGTTTCTTTCAGGTTACTATAGATATATTTTTTTATAATTTCCAGAACTGCTTTTATTTATCACTAACAGGAATTTCAACAGAAGTTGTCACTGTTACAAATCTTACAAGGTCTACATTTGGTTTCCTTTCTGAATAGCAGCTAAAACTAAATGCACAGATTGACTGTCTAGAACTGATTTTAAAAGTTTATATATTAATTGGATCACATATTTACTAGTTTACTTTCTCTATATTTTCAAGATAAATTCTTCAAAATATTATCTTCATATTTTGTTTGAAACATTCAATGACACTTACAAAATAGCAATCCAAAAATCTAAGTAACAATCTAATTGTGGTATCACCAGAGGACATTTCTGAGTTCACAGAGTACAACTACAGGCTCCAAAATAGGAAAGCGTTTATGCACATGATTAACATTCTGTTGGACACTATGCGCGGCAATGATCTGAGAGATACGTGTCTGAATACTTACTAGCCACGTTCAGGATTAGAGACCATTTCAAGCCCTGACTGAAACTTTTTGACTAGCATACTAACTGCATAAAACATGTTATCCTATGAAACCTTTACTGTTTTTTAGCAACGTTTCATATCATTATCAAAACAATGTTTTACATTTTAAAAGTATTATCTTAAGACCTACTTTATTTGGTGTCTTTGTATAAGGTTTTCAAAATTTGTTTTTCAAAATTTCATTATCAGTATAAAAGCACTGAAAGTACCTGAAGAATCTTAGTTTAAACCGCAAAGACATCATACGGTCTGGTTTAAAATAAAATTTAGGGGGAGAAAATAGCCAAAGAAAGTTCTCCAAGTCTCAATGCACTATATTTTGAGTGACTTGTCATAGTACATACGTGTGTCTGAAAAAGTAACTGAGGAAAGGGGAGGGTAAAAAAAGGGTTCATAAACAAGGTAAATCCACATTCAATTCTTTAAATTGCACTAGGGTCTAACGGAAAGAAATTATTACTAGAAATAAAGCATGAAGGTATACCAGTCACTGGTCTAATGCAGTAGTGAAGTTCTTTCGTTATGTCGTTCTTGGTTTGTATAACTAACGACTAAGGGACAAAAAACTCCCTGTCATGCACAATAGATTGGAGGTAGGTATGCCTTAAGCAAGACTTTCCAGAGAATGCCAAATAAATACGTGGATATAAATGAAAGTGAGGCATTGCTAATTCCCAGTTATCATGTTTGATCATAATCCCTCATTGGGAAAAAAAAAAAGCAGAAACTAAATTACAAAAATATACTAACTTAAATATTGAGACACTTAATCTAAGCCCTTCTGCTATCTACACAAATCCATCCCAAAAAAGACATGACTAAACAGCCAAACAGAATGCACCTGTCTCCAAATCCAAATGCCTGCCATTCCTCTAAACTCACAGTACCTCTATTTGCCATGAATATCTCCAGTGCTGTATTTTGCAAAAGATAACGTCGAGAAAAGATAGCTCGAATCTCTGAAAAGAGCCATTTTCCATGGAGTCCTTCTGTATATGCCAGAATCTAGTAGAAAGAAACAGAGAATGTTTTAAATATGTTGTTAGTATAGGTAATATCTTGTAAGAGAAACTGTTTGACCCACAAACATGGATTCTACCAATTACAGGCAAAACCTGCAGCACGATTAAAATATTGTCAAACTTTAAACCATGCTATGAGCCTATAATGGATTTTTTGAAAAAAATTCAACTACTCATGTCAAGGATTTTAAAAATTTCCTTGTATTTTTTCCTTTAAAGACACCTGCCTATTTTCCATAACTAAGGGAGTTTCAGAAACATTATGAAATGATTGGTACTTTAGCGAAGCATAAAAACACGTTCTGAAATGTATCACCAGTGCCGTTAGCTGTATCTGCACTCACTTTAGCATTGTAATAACAGGCTTGTAACAAATAAGCAAGAAAAAATGTCTTTAAAGAAAAAATGTTCCTTAGGTTTATCGTTAAGGCAACATTCATTAATTCTGGAACTATAAAGGTTGGCTGTATAAGAGGTTAAGTATCATTTTGTCAGCTAAGGTTAAACACAAACCTGCAAATGAACTCAGCATAATCTCTCTATGGAGTAAGCGGTTGTCAAAGTAACTTGTTACAATTCCTGTCATCCCATCTGACAGACACAGATGCTTAGTCTGCCTTCACAATTCAAACTAATCCCATTTTCAGTCCTCAGCCACTTTGTTTCTTTGTTGCTTCACTTTTTCCTTTTCATTTCAAAGCTTAATTATGTATGTGTTAAGGGACAGCGAGATTGGACACTTCTCTGCCTCAGATTAACAAACCTTAAGCGAAGGAATATCTGAGATTTGTCAATTTTAGCAATCACAAAAGCACTTAACAGAAATCCATCACAGAACAGGAGATTCAGATATAATCCTAGTTAAATCATTCTTACTGCAATTTCACTTCAGCAATATAGTGTGTATAAAAAAGAAAAAGTGAAATTCAAGCCCTTAACATAACAAAGACTGTTAATGGAGCCAATCACTTGTTTATAGGTTTTGAACAAAGGAGGATTTTGTAGCATATATTCACAAATAACCGGCATTTTTGTAGCACAGAAAGCTGAAGCACCATTATAAAAGCACTAGACAATAAAGTATAAAATATTGTACCACTTTTGTGAATTAAAAGCAAGGAAGACTGGCAAACCAAAAGCAGATAGCACAAAAGATCAGAACATACAAAATAAACCATCTCTCACACCTTCTTTCTTTTTACTGAATCCTTCATCTTCCCCTCAAAACAAGTGCCACAGACAACTTCTCTCCCAACACACCCAAACACACAGAAAGAAAAGGAAAAAATGAATAATTATTCCGATACAAAATTCTAGAAATGCAATGAAAGGACCAGAGATTGTCAACGGTTGCTAATCACTTCTGGAACTGGGGAACTATGAGACTTGGGCCACGCTGACACTTTCCGTACCACATCCATAACCCATCCACACTAATTGGCAGATTTGTATAATTCTACGGGGCTACTGAGAACCACGGCGGTTGGCTTTTGTCACACGCATATAAATATCCTTTAAAGAGCACAACATCAAAAGAGGTAACAAAGGAGACAAAGTTGCACCGCTTGTGTACAAAAATCTCTCAGTACTTTCGCCGGTATTCATCCATTTTACGATGAGCTTATAATTTCGATGATTATTTTTTGAGACAGACAGGAATGTGATGACCTCCGCTTTTCTGTAGTAACAATTAAAAGACAACAGCCTGCTTGTCACTATCGGTCTGTGCACTGCAAACTCAAACACTTATTACATGGATACTGTGAGCAAAAGCAGCAAGTTAAATAATTAAGTATTGCTTTTACCCTGTGAAGCGAACATTTTTTTGTGGCAGTGGAAACCCTGCACATGGCGAAAAGCTTGTGGCATGCAACTTCTTCAAAACTGGAAGGAAAAGCACCGACTTTGTAAAGAGCAGAGATAGCTGTGCACCTTGTACAGCCACGATAAAGTTACTGAATTCAGTATAACAGGATTTACAGCAGAAACTTGAACCGCACTGCCGAAACACGACCAGTCACCACTACGCCAATTCTTTAAACCGCTCATTAACAGAAGTTATGGGGAGCGAGAAGCAGCTGAGGCCGAGCCGAGCAAGGCCTTCATTGCGAGTTGGAATAGCGTCTGCCTGGTCTGCAGCTTCACTTCAAAGTCTCTGGAGTTCAATTAAAACTGGATTAGGTGGAAGCAGACCTTCTTTGGGACGCTGTGTTCTCTGAAACTCCAGGCACACTGACAGCACCCTAGACAGAGGTCTAGCCCGCCAATGAACCAGTTGCTATGGAAACTGCATCATTACCACTGCTCTGCGCTCATCACACCACCTATAGTAGATGAAAGGTCCAGAAGACAAACACGTTTCTTTCATGTGTATTACTAAGTATTCCTTCTGAAAATCCAATTCAACCTTTTATTCCCTGTCAAATATCTGATTTTATTAATAGAAACTCCCAGTTGCAGGAACTGACTTGTACTTCAAATTAAATTCAGCATTTTTATTCCGGCAAACGGATTTTTATTTTTAATTTTTCTTAATCAGTCTTATCATTTCTGATATTATCAGAACTACAACTTTCAAAACCGATTTTTGCATTTGCCTGTTTTCACCCATAAGCCACACAACACAGAATTCTACTTAAGAATTTAAGAACAACTATCTCCTTCATACTATCGTACAGTATGTTGAGTTTAAAAACAACTCATTTATTTCTGTCTGCTGTCACCGCCAGTTTTGGAACAACTTGTGGAGCAAAGACTAATGAGGGTGTACAATCTAATTTAATCTGCACAAATAGTACCGCCTCCCGCACATGAAAAAGTATTTATAGAATTTCAGTTGATTCGACACATCAGACTGAACTTTAATCTCATCCACATTTCATTTATTTCAAAAGATACTGCACCTTACAGGAGGCAAGACGATTTATACAGTTTACCATTTAAGATAAAAATACTTAAAATAAACAAACGAGCTGATTGTAAAGTTCTACGGTTCCAAAAATCTCATTAGACAAACTGTTCTGTGATTACGCTTTGGCAACACCAGATGAACAGACGGCATGATCAGCTTCAATTTCCACTTTGAGGAGATTCTGAAATCTGAGTTGCATGAAAACTCAGCATATTGCTGATCGCAAATTAAGATTATACATAAAGAAGTCCTCTCCTCATGATTCATAGCTGTATAACAGCTAATTTCCCAACATTAAAATCCTCACTCGGAAGCTATTTTGTCATTTTAGTTTTGAAAACAAGTGCCCCACTCCACCTTTTCTTCAAAACCCTCCTTGAATGTCGATCATAAACAATGTCTCTCGTAAAATATTACATGCCATAGTTAAAAGACACCATCAGCACAGTTGCCTCCCGAATTAGAAAAGCAGTATTTTACTGAAGACTAAATAAACATTTTGCTTTACCTTTTAAGCAAACCAATCAGCTATTATATATTTTATTTTATTTTAAAGTACTATTGATCTTGAAAATGTGAATAGGCAAGAAGTAATTAAGTCTGTAAATGGGTTATAGAACTGAAACAGTAATTGAATAATTGTTACTTTAATGTGCCAGCAAATTTAACTGCCACAAATAAAAACTAAATCGTTTATTTAAAAAACTGATGCACATTTGTAGATTTCCGAAAAAAAAGTTACGCTGTACCAGACCAAACAAACAAACCAACCATCAGAAAAAAACCCCAAAGAATTTAATTTGCATTTAGATTTTATTGTAGTTGAGAGATAAAATCTATAAATACATTCTTCTAGCAGCATTCAGTGTCATTTGGGGTCATTTTTGTTCAGGAAGGCAAAAAATTACAGCACTTAAGAGTTTACAAAACCTGACTCTCCGTTCATGGGGAACCTGGATCTCCACCACAATCTCAGCCCTGCAACTGAGGATCCTGAGATCCTGCTGTCCAGGTACTATTTAATCCCTGGCTGCAGGATTCACAGTGCAAGGGTCTTACCCTGCTCTTTGTTTAAATACACCCAAGTACAACCAAACTAATAGGGAATTAGATCAGATTAGTAATAATTTTAAATATCCAAATGCTCTTAAATAAATCAGAGTGCTTATTAATTTTATTTTAGATTTCTCAAGAGAACAACGGATAAGATGTTCATTTTAAAATCTCAGCTATTTATACAATCAGCCACTGAAATCCACAGGCAAACAGTACTCATCTCCCATCCAGTCCCTTCTGTGGAGCACGCACAGCCTGCTATGCAATCCTGTTCAGCATTTTCATGGGTGACAAACTCAATTAAACATATTCATTACTTTAATGTTCCACTAGACAGTTTTACCCAGCATAAAAAATTTAAATAAATAAATAAATACTCTGTGACCTTTATATCGATCAGAGCAAAATGGCTTATGCCTGGGTGTGGGTGGTGAAGGGACTGGGGAAGGGGGTGGTAAAGGACTCTTATGTTTTCTCTTCCAATTACTGGAGGAGATGATAAAACCACAGCAAATGATGTATCAGCTCATTTTATCTTATCGCTTTGGGGCTAGGTGACAATGAAGTTCATATTTCACTGGTTCCCATTGAAGATTGTGAAAATTACTTGCCCTTATGACCTGAAATTTCACTGGAAGACAGAAATTTCTCTTCTGCAAAGTAATGCAATTTTTCAGATGTCAACCTTTAGCCCAGCTTTAAAAATTAATTTCATTTATATTAACCAATGATATTGATATTTTCACAGAATGCTCTTTGATACATGAACCACCGACTAGCAAATTGATGTGCTCTAGAAGGATAAAATTATTTTATCTGCAGCTGCTGGGGACAGACAGATTTACCACAAACTGAAATTCCTATTTCACAGTATGCTATTTCTAGTAGCTTCATATACCTTAAGGCCTCTAGACCTGTAAATAGTTTAATCTTTAGTTCGGACTTAGTTTTGTTTCTAGATCTATTCCGTTTTGAATAATTTCTATGTAAGCGATACACAGATGAAAACACGATTT